GTCATATTTAGAGGCACATGCAAATCTACGTGTAAATAGATGGAAAGAAGTTTGGCAAAGTGATGGCAATAAATGATACCAATTATTTTTATTTATGGAAACTCAAATGACTTTTGTTTTCTTTTGCCCAAATTGACTGAAACTATTGTCTCAAAGCATACAAATTATTTATATGATACAAATGGTGAGCTGATTTCCAGACAGAATCAGTGCATGCTATTCTAATTCTCCACCTGAAATAGCTCCCTAAGCTCTCTCCGTTTGCTCCCCTGTGTATTAAAGCTCACAGCCAAGAAACAGCCGTATCTTGTGTCATTAAGCTAGCACATTATTTGTTGGGACACCAGATCTTCCAGGCCATACTCTCCTTAGAATAATCAGATACATGCTGTTGGCTGCTTAAGGTGACATGGAATTATTTTCAACTCAATCCCAGGAAAAGTCAGTATTATCAAGACAGTTAGAGATGGATTACATCTCACCATTCTTTTGTGACCTTTTATTATTTCACTATGGAACGGATGATGATATGACAACATTTGGTGATCAAGCAAAGTATGCAAACCACCAAGAGAAGGGGCTCACTCTAAAGAAACATTCAGAGGACTTAAAAGGTGATCGCGGGACCCAAGGTTCCAAGCTGGAATGATACATACAGCCCAGAGAAGTGAAGTGACTTGCCCAAGATCACACAGAGGCAGGAAGTGGCCGAGGTGGGATTAAACCTTGCTCAAATGCCAAAGCCAGGGCTCTTCAGAAAAAGTGCTTTAATCTAAATGTTTCAATATATTTCTAGCATAGTTTTAGACTTCTGCAGTAATATTTCAGTTATTACAAAAAGACATTTTTATACATTAGTAATATTTATAATCATCTCAATTTTCTCTTATCACTACTGAAGCTAAATTATATGACTGAAGTCTATTACATTAACCTTTTAGGTTTATTCCCTGTATTTCCTCGAAGTAGTACGAAAATCCAAGAAATTGCTTGCAAGTTTCATATGTACTATCTTTGCTCTTCCCAAGGTCCCTAGAGAACCCTAGAAATTCTAATTAGTATTAGCAGTTATTGCCTACATGTTTTATTATTATTTCAAGTGTAGTTAATATTAACAGTCATTACTCTAATTCTTGTATAATATTGCTATTATCTGTGATTACCAAGGATCTTTGCAAGCAACAATGACCCTATCATCATAGGCCTACTGGTTACTTTCTGCTCCAAGGTCATCAGACTGAATTCTTAATACAAAATGGGAGAACAAAACCAAAAATAACCAAAGTATTCATGCTGAGTATCAAATAGTATTAATAAGGTCTGCTTTGACTATTTGAAGTCCTACATAATTTCTTTTATTAATCGGAAAAAATTTTGAAACATATAATCATGATTAGCCATGATATTATGGCTAATAAGGGAATTCAGAATATTCAATGCAAAACAATTGGATTTTAGGGTTGTGAAGGACCTCAGAGATCAGGTATAGTTACTATAATTAATATTCAATGGCATCTTGCTTTAACCTAATTAATTTTTTATAAAATACTAAATGAAAATAAAAACATCCACGATGCCTAATAAAAGTAATTTAAAAAGAAATGTTGGGGCACAGCACTTTTTTTATAAGCTAAATGTATTACCTATTAAAAAGAAAACGTCAGACATGTCACAATTTATGAGAGCTTCCACAGTTTACCATTTTGAAATGTTCTTTTTAATTTGTAAAACTAAGCCACATTAGTTTTTAAGTTCTTCCTTGAAAGTAGTAGTATCTGTGACTCTACATGACATTCCCACTGGACAAGGCATGCAGGTTTCATTTAATAATTGCAGTAGAACTCAGGTGAAGTCCCAGAGGAAGGAGAAATATCACTGCGGTCCAGCCTCCCCAGGACTGCTAGAATCATGCAAAGAGGTCCCAAAGTAAGAGAAGGTGGCAATGCTGAATAAGAGCCTGTGGCCAGCACAGGCAGGTCAATGAGCAGGCAGTGAGCAGGTGAGGGAAGATGCAGGACCACCGTAACTTATTTGTCTTCCACTGGCCTGAGAGTCATAACACTGAGCTCCAGGTTCCCATGCAGACACTTTCTCCTGCTGGCACCTCAGGCAACTCACTGAACTTACGAATTTCTGATCCTTGTGCTATCGACCTCACAGGACAGATATGAGACCTGTTGCAGCGGAGGTAGAATTTCACCCCATATCTTCTGACTTCAAGTCCAGTAAAGTCTCTGCTTCCCCAACATGGTTCTTATTTTTCCTTATATATTTAAGATAAAATATTTTAGGCTCTCTATAGTAGTGTTCTCAATAACTAGGCAAACTTTCCATAAAATTTTTATTTCATTTTGCAAAAGCCAAAGTAGTGATTGCAAAGGATTCTGAAGTCATCAGGAAACAGGGCCCAGAGAGGCCAAACAAGGGAGAAAACAGATCAGAGATCACATGCAGGATTTGGCCCATTGTTGTCAATTCAGAATACATTATGAGCAAAAATGGACATATTCCAAGTGATAAATGTGAAACTACACTTGTGGGATGGACTTAACTGGAACAATTTTGATGTACTTTTATAAATCTCCCAAAAGATATGCAACCTGAATGTTAAAGATGATATTAAAATTAAAAGAGATCCAAATCATGTACTTTTAACAACTATGGCTAGGATGTGAATTCTTAACCAAATAAAAGATAGAGAGAATCAGAAAAGATAAACTGGGTCATTTTGATTCCATGAAGTTGAAAAGCTTCTGTACAAACAAAATTAATGCAACTAGGATAAGAAAGGGAAGAAGACTACTAGGAAAATAATTTTATCAAATATCACTGCCAAGGTTATAATATCCAAGACAGGCAGACAAATAATAAAATAATAAAAAGTGCCCAACAGAGATGAAATAGCAATTCTCAAAGGAAGATTAGCTATTATTAGCAACCATATGAAAGAATTCTCCAAATCATTAAATATACAAGAAACACAAACCAAAATAATTCAGAGGTTTCACCTCACGCCCAGCAGATTTGCAAAGATAAGGAAAGAGAGGAACAATCAGTTTTTGAGGGCTGTGGAAGGGTGGGCATGCTAATACATTGTTAGTGGAATTGATTTAAAACCGTCTAGAAAGCAATTTGGAATTATGTTTACAAAAATGATTAAAAGTGTCCATACCCTTTGACTGTGAAATCTTACTGGTAGGCATATCCCCAGGAGGTCAATGACAAAAAGAAAGGTCCCATATATACCAAAATACTCAGAGCAGCACTTTTTATAGTAGCAAAAAATACTGGAAACTAAGTAGATTCCATTAATTGGGAAACAGATAAATGAGATGTAGCATATGAATGTGACAGCATATTATTGAACTTTAAAAGCCAATGAGGATGAAGAATATAGAAAACAATCAGAAAATTTATGAGAACTGATGCAAAGTGAAGTAAACAGAAACAAGAAAAGTCTATACAATGACCACAATAACTTAAATAGAAATAACACCAATCAAAGACTGAAATAAAATGCTGTGAATTTACAAAACCCAAAATTGGCTCCAAAAAGAAATGGAAGAAGATACTTCTCCCCTTTCTTTGATAATGTATATAAGACTATCAATGATGTCAGATGTTTCTGGTGTATGGGTTAGTTTGCTCAAGCATTTTTTTCCATGTTTTTTCTCCATTGTTTAAAGGGATGGTCCTTTTAGAGGCAGAGGAGAAAGAATACATTGGGAAATATAGGTGAAAATATATATTAAAAATAAAGAATAAAGGAGTATTTAGAAAAATTAATCTTCAAACATTCATATTCACAGATCCCAGGGCAAGTGTCATATATCTGATGAAATAACTGGAAAAGGTGTTTGCCACTTTAAAGAGTATGGAATAACACAACATGCTGCTTTTTGAGGAGAAACTTGTCTTTGGGGGGAGAAAGCACACTAGAATGGCTTAATTATTTAATTAATGAATTACTTAGCGAGAATGTGACCAAAATGATTTATTGTTAGACTAAAGCAAATTATATGTAAATTACTTTTCCAACTTTAAAATTACATATATCAACTATTATACTATTATTATTATTCCCTTACAAATAGAAAAAAAGTTTCCAATTAAATGATAATCCAACTATGGTGCAGGACAATTAATGATAAGATTAGGTACTTTACACCTATTTTAAGTGATTCAAATTCCACAAATATATGGAAGGCTGAGAAGCTGTTAAACACTCAGCTCCACATATGGAATCTCACAAAATCACAATTCATCAAATACCCAAGTAGGAGTTGAGAACATAAAATCTGCATAAAAAGTATCATAGAGAGATCACAATCACACAAGCCCCCTGTAAAGCAGGCAGCACAAGGGATTATCACACATGATTTACAAATGAGAAAGGTTAAATGAGAGGTCCTGCGTCACATGATCAATAAGTTTCCTAGGCAGGACCTGAAGTCAGGCCCCCTAACTCCAAATCCTGTGCTGTTTCCACCATACCATCAAAGAGATACACAACAGTCCTGAGAATAAAATTTCTGCACAGTCCAAATGTAAGACAAAAGACTTTTGCCTGCTGTCAAAGTTTCTATCAACTTCATTGAAAGCTGCAACACAAAACTGGTATTTTGTTACATTATTTTCCTGTAGATGGTAAAGCAATACCTGGATCTTAGAAGTTTCCATTAAAAAGGAAAATTTTGTTACTACCACTTCAACCACTAAAAATAATAAAGCTCAAATTTTAAGACAAACCAAAAATTAGAGATAGATATCCAAACTTTCCTCCAGAAAAGCACGCCAGGAGCAGCCTCAGTTTATAGCCAAAATATCATGACTCGATATCACTGAAACAGGTTAAACAGTCCACAAGATTTTTTTCCCTAAATGTTTTAGAGGAAACACAACTGAAGATATCCTTGCCACATTCTTAAAATAACCCAGTGAAGAACTGTTACCAGTAGGAAAAGCAAATACTTCTGTTTTGTAAAACCCCCAAAATGTACCTTTCATCTGTGTGGCAAAAGTGAGTGCCAGTTTTGCAAAGAGATCTGGATTTTCAAACTTATTTTCCTTAACTTTTAACCAGAAACAGTTTTCTGATATTTCCTGTGGTTCAATCTGCAACAAAAAACAGCAAGAATAATGTGGTCAATTATTACACATTTAGTTTAAAAAAAAATTAAGTGGACCTACATTTAAGCAAGATTGATGACCAGTTCATCGTTTCTGTCTGCTGTTCATTGCTCCATTTTAGTCTCTATCCAAGTAGTTTTCTGTCCCTTATTAATTAAGGAGAGACAGTATGGTGTAGTTGACAGAGAACTGGCCTTGCAGTCAGGAAAACCTCGATTCCAGTTTTGCCTCTGACCCATACTACCTCTGTGACCTTAGGATAGACACTGCATCTCAGCGCTCCAGGCAGTTCAGAGGCTATGAGCTGCAGAGAAGATCCCAACCTTCCTGGGCAAAGGAAGTTCCCTCATTTGGAGTTCTAAATATACCAGTGAAGTCGCAGTTCTAGCCCCTAGCCACTATCCATTTATACAGAAAATTTCAATTTTTGACAGTTCATAAAGGAAAAGTTGCACAGCAGAAATATTCCACTTATTATGCTGACACAAAAGTGAGGGTTTTCTATAACAGCCATCACACTTTTAATGAGCTTCGGAATTAGTATCTCTCTTCACTCATCAAAGATTCAACTGTCACTAAAAGCACTTGGCCGTGGTGGGGTACCTGCAGCCTTGAGGCCACACGTGGCCCTCTAGGTGCTCAAGTGCAGCCCTTTGACTGAGTCCAAACTCCACAGAACAAATCTGGTTTGATTTGAGGCCACAAGCTCCCCACCCCTGGTCTACGCCAATTCAAACGGCTGCTGCTCACTGATTCATTTAACAAGCAACTCAATGCTTAGTAATGTCAGGGCTCTGACGCTATCAAAAACCCTGATCTGGTTACTGTATGGTTTAATCCAATTCACTGTAGAGGTGTTAATTAATAACATCAATAGATATGGACTTCATTTCTATTTAATGGGACAACTCTAAAAATCTGATGTTAGGAATAAATTCCATTCTATGTAAAAACTTACATGTACCTATCCCCATCTTTCAAATTTCTTCAGAGATGAAGTAAGACTTACATATTATCCAAGAAAAGTTCATCAACCCTAATATCCCACTTCCCTTCTACTTTTTTCCTTGGTCTTCCCATTTTCTCTCCTCCTCCCTCCAATTTGTCGTCTTCTCTCTTTTTACCCTTTCGTAAGTATTCAATATAGAAGATGTCTTCATGTGGGTAGTATTACTTTATAATAATTAAATATACTGAAAACAGCATGCATATATTCTATCATCACTAGTTTAAGCAGTCTCTCTAGCCAAAAAGGCAATCCTGAAGATTGACTGAAAGCTACAACTCAATAAAAAGACCTTGTTTCTTTGGAACAAAACTAACTGTGGGTTATTAAACATTCAGTAAGTAAAAGAAATGGAAAAAATATGATTTCACTCCTTATTCCTGTTAAAAGTATGATCCAATACTTATAATAAGTACAGCAATGGTAAAATAAACTAAGGTACTCTTCAATGCTTCTTTCTATCTGGATTATCTATATTCATTCCTTATCCTGCCTCACTAATTTCTTTTACTGTTGGCATCAACTTTCAATTCATTTTCACTTCTTCCAATGACTCAGATGGATCCTACCTACATCACTTTAGGAATTGTGAAAATCTTAAATAGTTAACAATTAGGAAGAAATATTTAATTTAGTAGTTATCAAACAATAAAGATCCCAAATGAAAAAAAATTATCACCATAAGCTGAAGATGTTATAAAACAGTTCTAGTCTTTGCTACTGAGTTTCTGCCCCCATTTCAGTCATAGTTCAGTTATTCTGACACTAATAACCCTGTGTAGCATCCATAACCTTAGCCCCCCCTCACCCCGCCCCCAGTAAAAGCCATTACCTTGGACCAATTGATTCTTTTCATGGTCACTTCTGGTTTGTATAATTTTTTTTCCTTCATTCCAAAAGGTAGGGAAGGAGGTGCTCCAGGAGGAGGAGGAATACCACCCAGAGGTGGTGGAGGAGGCGATCCCCCAAATAAAGGAGGTGCTGGTGGTACAGCTCCTCCAAGCAAAGGAGGAGGAGGAGGAGAAGGAATTCTACCGGGCAGCGGTGGTGGAGGAGGAGGAGGCGGAGGAGGAGGAACAACACCACCTGGTACTGGGAGCGGCGATGGAGGTAGTAGACCTCCTGATGACCCGGAAAGTCCATGTCCCTGGAATATACATTTGAAATAACAAACATCACACCTCTGTAATGGTTTCTATACTTACTAAATTAAATATTATATTTTCTCTCTAGGATATTAATAATTCAATTCAAGTAATGCTAATTTGTGGGGGGTAATGTTTCCAAAGTTCATGCATGTTAATATGATCCCTATGTTTTCTTATTAGCATTACAGACCACATTTAAAAACTATTACTTTCACTGTATTTGCAAAATGACATTCAGTTTATTTTTTTATTAAATAACCCTTCAAAATAATAAAAAGTAAGTTTCATATTATGTAATATATATATATACTAAGAATTAAGTATTTTGTAAAATGGTTTGGACTTGTTCAAGCAATTGGATAGAATACAGTACTAATTAGGACAAGGTCATGAATGCAACCCCCAAATGGGCCAATTAACTTTGCACAAATAGAATCTGTTTCATAGCCCCGGTAACCCACTTGTCTAATAATTACTGTAATAATACTAATGAATGTTTTAAATTTACATAATGATCTATATTTATCAAAGGGTTTCCACCTTCATTATCTAATTTGATCCTCACAGGCTTATAAGGCAGGCTGAGCAGATAATATTATGCCCATTTTTACAAATGAGAAAACTGAGGCTAAGAGAGTGGAAGTGACTTGTTCCTGCTCATATGGCTAGTTAAATGCAGAGCCCAGAAAACAGTCACAATCTCTAGGCTCACAATCCAGTACACCTTGCACTATGACGTGCTACCTCCCTACAAATGCATGTTATCAGTGAAAAGAGGAACAGGAATGAGAGTAGCAATGAAAAACCAACCCAAAGAGAGTACATTGTCTACAAGTGGGTGTCAACATCCTCAACAATGAGCTGTACATGTGGAGGGCCTATTTTGCACCATCCTATCTTCTTTCTGATGACTAATCAATCAATGCTCATTTATGTGAAACACCAGTGATCTGAAAATCACTCACTTCCCCAAATAATGCATAATCATTCATTTTCCAAAAGCTCACATTCAAAATAATTCTAAGACTCCCCACTCCAACCCCACCACCACCACCACCACGCACATAAAGCTGCAAGTATTATTCTGATACAACCAGTTTAAAGTGTGAGCCTGTTTACAAATCAACTTTAAAATGATGTTTGAAGAATGCCAAGTAGGGCAGTCTGGCTGATTATATGATTCATGAAAGGGAGCAAGGTGTAAAGAGAGAGGAAAAGTAGGAAAGTGTCAAGTTGAGAAGAAATTTAAATGCCAAACAGAGGATGGCATATTTCACATTAGAAGCACTAGGTATCCAACTGAGTCCGCTGAGTAGCAGGATGATGGGTTGAGAAGTGTACTTTCAAAAAATCATTTTGGCAGTTGTGTGGAGGAGGATTTGCAGTGAAGAAAGACTTAAGACAGAGAGGTCAATCAAAAGGTTATTACGATAGTCCAAGTGGGAGATGATGGGAGTCCAAACTATGGGAAGGAACTGAGTAGAAAGAAGAGAACTTGACATTATGGTAGTAGGGAATAAAATAAGTTCCCGTCAAGCAACTGGATAGATAAAGCATTTATGAGGTCCTTATTATGTGCCAGGTACTGGGGATAAAAAAAAAAATACAATCAATATAGTCCTTGCCCTCAGGGAGTTTACATTCTACTGGGTGAAAACAATGCAGAAAGGGGCATGGCATGGAAGAGTGGGAAGTGAGAAGGAGGCTTGGCTGTAGACAGGACAAGGCAAAACCTAAAACACCCAAGACTGCAGTTCTGATTATTGGGAGGAGGGGATGCAAACTTTTTCAATGCAAGGAATATCTATCCACAAAGGAAAATCAGAGATTATTCAAGTATTACGCTAATTAATTTCTTTACAACACCAACACCAAAAATGCACATGAAGTTCATGAAAATCATTCAAATTTTCACCACTTATTTCATAAAGTAAAGTTTCAGGGATTAACAAAAGGCATTGTAGAGAACACAAGTAGGGATAAAATTCAGTCTCTACCCTTAAGTTCATAAGTAAATCTCCAGGGTAGAATGTGATCCATGTCATAAGTATTATCAAGTGCTACAGAAATCCTGACGAGGGAGAGATGACTTTGGCTGCTATGCAACTAGCTATTGTGGACATGAGCTGGACTTTGAAGATGAGAAGGCAAAGAAGAAGGAATGAATCAGAGGACATTGCAGATGAAAGAAATAGCACAGGAAAATTACAAATGCAAAAAATCAGAGGAGTGGTCAGTTTTAGTTTAGCTAAATAGAAGGGAAATATTATGAGATAAACACAGAAGCAGTGGATGAGGACAGAACATGGAGAGCCTCGGATGCTGGTTAAGGAAGCTGTACTTAATTTAGTGGGGCAATAGGGAGCCAATGAGGCCACATGAGCAAAGTAAGTAGATGACAAAAGCTAAATATTAAGGAGATTATTCGAAACAGCGGAAAGGATGGATGGAAAGGGTGAGGGATAATAGAAAGAAAAGTTGCAAGGGTACTGTGAAAGAGTAAGGGAACAGATAACTGGAGCTTGGTAGTGAGAGCACAAAAGATGGAAAAGTTACAAAGAACATTCTAGAAGTAGCATAAAAAAGGGTTTGGCAAATGATGAGGGTAAGCAATAGAGGGAAGTCCAAGATAATGATGAGGCCTGGAATCCAAATAAGTAGGATGCCAGGGGAAACCTTAGCCAAAATAATAAAGGCAAGATGAACAAACAGTTAGTTTGGAGGAAGATGAAACTGAGGTTCAGCTGTGAGCAAGCTTAGCCTGGGGTAATGCAGCTTTATATAGTAACACCTCCAAAGGCAGTTAGAAGTGAGAGACTGGGGCTTAGAGAGAGATTAGGAGTAAACACATAGATTTGGAAATCGACATAAAGGTGACAGGGAAAGCAATCACTGAAATAAAGAGGGAAGAGAATCACATATGCAAACTTGAGGCATGTCCACATTTCAAAGATGAAGATGAATGAGTGAAAGAGACTGAAAAAGGCGTATTCTAAGAAGAAGAACCAGAAGAGTGGAGCAAAGGAAAAGAAATTCAAGAAAGGGGCAGTCACTGGTGTCAAATGAAAGAGAGGTCTATGAACATGGACGTGGGGATGTGGTGATTAGGAGGTCTCTGGTTGACTTTGAAGAGGAGTTTAAATACAGGGAAGAGGACCAGAAGTTAAACTGTATAAGGCTCGAGGGTGACTGGTTAGTAATGAAATGAGAGCAGCCAGTGTATATTTGCTTAGACTGTAATAAGTGCCCGGGGGAACACGTCTTCATTGATCAAAGCTCCAGAGTGTTTTATTACTGTGAAATATTTTACATACAAGGCCTCATTTGGCCCTCACAAGAAACCTGTGACATGCGCAAGGCAGAAATCACTATGCTCTCTTACAGAGAAGTTAAATAATTTGTCCAAGGTCACATATCTCGTAAGTCTCGTGATAGTAGCCTTGTCATCTGAATTTAAACGCAGGGCATTTTTCCACAGAGCCATGAATTCAAACACTTTCAGATTTGGGGAACATGCAAAATTCTTTCCATTATAGACATCATAAATGAGTATGTAAGTTGTAGGGTTTTAAAATGAGGTAGTCAAATATGAAAAAGAATTGTGCATCAGAAAAAAAACAATTATGGGGATAATTAAAATTAATGAGAATTGTTATATTCTTTTACAAAAGAAATATGGATTCAGTATTTCAAATTTTACATAAAATAATTTTTATTTTAAATGATAAATTTTTATATAAATCATGTTCAGAAATATACTAATAAATTATTTTAAAAGAAACAACTCTATTAACCTTTTAAAAATGTAATTATAAATTTATTTTATGAATTTACAAATAATGTGGATTTATAATATATACATATAAATTTAAATGTAGACATTTAAATGTATGTAGACATTTAAATGAATGTATACATACATTTAAATGTCTACATATAAATAAATAAAAATTTACAGCTTATAAGATATATTTTATATAAAAATGTTTCAGAAATATCTATTAAACTAGATGTATTTAACTACTCCGTTCACTTTTTTTTTTTGGACATTTGAATGATACAGTGTTTCCAATAATAAAAATCTGTGGAATCATTAAATGAAATGGTAAACTGCCACAAACTTTTCCCCTGGCCATGCTGTCTCTTCCCAGCCATCCAGTGTGGCCTGCCATCTTCCTCCCAGTGCCAGAGCCTCCGGTGTTGTTCTTGTTTCATTACCTGAGTTCGGAGCTGCTGAAGTTCCGTCTCGAGTTCTTGTATTTTCTCCTCTCGTCGTTGAAGTTCAGCCTGGGCCTCCTGTCGTGCTGTGAATTCCTCATCAAACTGCAATAATCACTTAGATCAGTGTACTCATCCACCTATGAGAAACCTAATTCTAAGCTTTGAAGAAAAGGTTCAGCAATGGCACATAGGAAATAATGAGGGATTGGGGGTGGAGGGGAGAAAGTTATTTTAAACAAGTCTACATAGAAAATAAAATCACTCAGGATTGTTTAGTTCCCTCAAAACATTACATCCTCAAAAACGTCTGATACCTCTGAAAAAATGTGAATTGCAAATAGGAAGATAACCGATGTGGTCCGCCTCGACAAAGGACAAGCTGTGCTCTGTTCAGATCTCAGATAACACCAAGCACAAATATTCTGCTCAATTTGGAAATGAAATTGAAAAACATGACATCATGAAGAGACTTCTTCTCCAACAGAAGTCATATTCTGGGAATGGCCACATGAAGGAACTTTAAGAAAAACTAGAATATTCCACAACCATCTTTGGCTGGCAAGCATTCAAAGAAGAGTGTTCAAAAAGCTGATATTGGAGTAGTCTACTACAGCAAAGGAATTCACCACATTAATGATGCTCATTCTACACAATGAGTAAGAGAAGTACTTCTGTAAAAATCTTTCCAGAAGTCACACAAATGGATAACATAGAGGGATATCAGGAATAGAAACACACATGCAGAATCTGATTCATAGAATTTTGAAGCCTAAAAGTATTTTAGAGAAAATCTAGTCCAGCACCCTCATTGGAAAGATTAGCAAAGTGAGGCTCGGAGAGTTCACTGACTGGTTCCTAGGAGATCCTCCTTTAGTTCTTTTTCATTCTAGCACACCACTATCTCAAGTGAGTCTTTCAAGAGGAAAAGTTCCAGAGGTCACACAGCACCAAACAATGTTCATGAGAACAGTTTACTAACCAATGAGATCTCTTTATAATCACTTCTAGAAGACTTGCCTGGAGAAAACGGAGACAAGTAACATTTACCCCAGTCAAATAGTGTCACTGTACAACATTCACTAAAAATGAAGCAAAGGGCTTCAAAAAAACCATATTGGATATTAGAAAGAGAAAGTCTTCTCCATTAATCAAAAGGTGTGCACTAGAAACACTTGTTGCTCAAGTACCCCTAGTGAGTCAGTGAGTGAAGGCCTGTCTCCAAATACCCTAAAGTACTGACATTCTATAATTTCTAGACCAAAATAGATATTAGATAAATTAGATACCAAAACAGGTATCTAATCTTTGGGCAAGTCATACTGTTCAATGGATGATATTGGACAAGCATTTCATCTCACTAGTAGAAGACTACTGGCCTCCTGCATGTTTTTCTCCTTTGCTCTGGAACCAAAAGATGAAGAGGGAAAATACACAGGTTCAAGAACCAGAGAAGGGTGCCCTTAGGAAAATATCAACCACAATTATGGGCTTCTGACTTTCTCTAATAAAAGCCTAAATCCAATCCCAACAAAGACCATGGCCACGGGGGCTTAAGAATAGGGTTTGCTTAAGAGCCTTTCCTACAACAAACATATGCTACACACAAATTTGAAGTTTGTGAAGCAGAAAATTCAAAAACTAATAGAAGTGCTTAACTTTGTTTCCACAAAGAGAACTGAAGTTCTCTCCTTGGTAGGACTAGGCAAACATCTCCCAGCTCTCTAAAGAGCTCTTTACCATGAGGAAGAGAGTTATAGGAAACACATGAAAATCTATTTTTCATAACCACTATCATTCATATCATCTTAGCAACTTATTTATTGTCATTTTAGTAGCTAATACGGCTTTTTTTTTTCATAGTGTATTAAGACTGATGCCAAGGGAATAGTGTGAAATGGTGATCTTACTTTATCAGTAGAAAATGTCAACATTCGATGGTTATTAAATTGGCCAAAACATATAATATAATAGAGCATATGCTTAAAATAAATTTTTCCTGACATCCTGATTCCTACATAATAGTGAAAAATTCTACTAAAGTATAAAATAATGTCATTCCAGCATTGCATAATCTTACCTTTTTGGAAAATTCCGCTGCCTTTTGTTCACTTTCTTCTACTTTAGCTTTGTCTACACATGCATCTATTAAGATTGACCAAAAGCAATTAGAAACGATTACATCATATACTTACAAGGAAAAGGCTGTAGTGCTTTCAGATTATCTTCAGCTAATTCGAGGAAGAATCATTTTCTGTCTCTCAAGAATGTAACTTCAATTTTTATATGGCAGGAAAAAAGGGGGAAAAATCTCACCATGTCATATGTGGAACATAAACAAGTCTGGTTTTTTTTTTTTCTAGTGCAAGATACTATTCTTCAAGACAGACTTACTGGGGCATGGATATGCATATATGAAATTCTTCCAGGATGAAGGGCAGCTATGGAGAATGCAGGACCCAAAGACAAGAAGGTCTGGGTTTCAGCCCTATCTCTAACACATCTGGCTGTGTGACTACAGAAGTCACAGCTTTTCAGTGCTCTAGGAAACTCCCTAAGATTATAATGTGCAGGGAAGGTCTCTACCTGCACTGGGAGAGGGAGTTTCATGACCTGAATGTTCCCCATATAAAGGAAATCACATGTCCTGTCCCTATCCCTTTCTCCAAGATTAACATAAATTACCCAGGTCAGTAGGTTTTGTGTTTCCTCAGATCACAGAGTCCTTCTGACCTGTTTTTCAGGACTTGGTATTAGAGTAGGGGCTGTGACAAAATGAAAACACCGTTTATGCCCCACCTCGGTGCCACAGGGGAAAAAAATGAATCCATTCTAAAGTGGGGCTAATAAGCTGAAGAAGGGAATAGATAGACAGCGGAAGCAAATAAGTTCGGGGTGCAATGGGTAGACATGAAGTTTATCTCACAAGATCTCTATAGACAAGATTTGTAAGTTATAAGTTTAAATCAAAGGAAGGAAATATATGACATCTGTTTTCGAGACTAAGTTTTCCAATGACCTAACCCAACTGATAGAAATACTGGTTGCCATATGACCAATATGCTATTAATAAGTCATTCTTATTTATTCATTAAACACATTACCTAAGGGCATGAAGTATTCAAAGCAATATTGGTCACTACCATACGGAGCAGAAAGAACAGAATCATATTATCTTAAAAGCTAGAATGCCTTGTACCAAATGTAGAAATTTCTTCTTTAATATCCCTGCCAGCTGGTCATTAAAGCTCTGCTTAAATACTTCCAGTGGGGTGAAGCTTATCATTTTGCTAAGCAAAACATTTCATTCTTTGATACTTTACACTAATTAAAAGTATTTTCCTTATGTAGAAGAGATGATCACCTCCCTACAGCTTCTACCCAGTAATTTATACTGTGCCTTTCACTGAATGATCACATTTCATCTCTTCAAAAATATTCAATATTTATATTTTTCAATAACTCAGACAGAAATACTCCCACTTTGGCTCAAGTTGTGAGAATTTACTTTACTTTTTTAAACAAGGATCATACATGCAATGGTAATGAATTTCTTCTCACAGAAGCAAATCATTCCATAAAACCAAGGAGAGATTTGTAAATAGCAAAAAAAGGATCTGTTATGTTAGAACAGAAGCTAAGGATAACCCAGCTAAGTCATATTATCATCATAAAAGTAAGCTTGACCCTTCAAACAGACAAATATGCCTGCAGCACATGGCAAGTACTAAACCAGTTTCTATACTGTATGCTCTTCCTTATGTTTATTCAGGGCATCTCATAACTAAAGTGTGTTAACTTGAGCATGATAAGAAAAATAAGGCTTAGAGTAATAATGCACTACCCTTGGCAGGCAAAGTTAGATTACTGAATCACCATCACTAGGAATTGTGCTTTAAGCAGCTCTTACACTAGTAGTCATCAAATCATAGAACTTGAAAGCTGCCAGAGTTGACATTAGAGAGCCTAAACCCAACGACTTATGCATAAGGCAAGCAAGATCCAGAGTTTAAATGCCTTTCCAACGTCCCACGGGTAGCTCATGCGATGGTGGTGAAGGAGGACTGTTTGTGCTGGGCTTGCTACTATCACTCATCTGGTCCTCCTGGAAGCAACTGCCAAGATTTCAAAGACATCACAGGGCATAAAAGACAAGAGAAAGGCCAACATCCTTTGCACATGTAAGGCAGAAATAAAAGTGTTTGAACAGAATGCTCATAGAAGAACAAACTGGGGATCTCACTTTGAGCTATTTTGAAAAGGTAAACATATCATTTGTAGTCAATCCGTGGTGAGGGGAATGGTGGCTCTCTCTGTCCTAAAGGTATGTGAAAGGACAAATTAATTGATTTCTCAAGGTATAGAAGGACAAAACAAGTTTGTATTTCATTTTTCAAAATTGTACTCTAGGAACCCAACTTTGATGTTAATTACAGTTAAGTTCTTATGGAGTTGTATGCATGTATGTAATGCCTCAATGGAACCAGCAGAATCTAAATGAATGCTTTGATGATAATAAAGCATCCACAGAAACACCTAACAGCCTTTGGGACTGAAAATAAGTCTGAGGGTGCCATAAGGATCAAACAGGAAAGTATTTCCAATTTTCTACATGTAAGTTTCTCATAATAATCACATTTAACAACCATATTCATAGAAAAACCTTGGGCACAGAACCTTAGGACTCAGATGATTTTATAGGAGAGGCAAAATTGGAAAAATATTTCTTTTCTTGAAAGGAAAGACAATAAGGGGAGGTATTGATAAATTACATACCTATTAGGTGAGTAAAGTCAACATCTAATCTCTGTCGATATTTGAAGTCTGGGTCCATGCCACTGCCATGGAGCACTATCTGTGAAACACACTCTTCAATGATCTTATAATACTGAGGCCTAGTGAGAAACAAAAACAAAGCAATATATGTCCAGCTCTCAGAAAAAAAAAAAAGTTTCCTCGAGAAGTCAGATGGAAGGAAGATGAAAGACTAAAATTACCTTTTTTTCTTTAACAGTCAAATTGTGAAACTCTCAAGAAACAAAAAGAAGAAATTAATGTCTACTTTTGAATATATCAACCTTATTTTCTAACGTACAGTGAGAGAATCTGATAAGGCTACTTAAGAGGTTAATACTGTCGTCTATTTGGCTTCAACCTTGGATTCTCATCCAGGTAAGCAACTCTTATAGCGATGGAAATTGGCCAATTCATGTATAGGGGCTGCAGTTACAAGAAAAGAAAGTCCTCAAAGTCCTTGGCACTGTCAAATAGTCTGACATCTCAAAGAGATTTCATTTTATTCATGGAAATGACATTAAAGAAGATATGTTACCATGTGCTTTGCCACTCCACCCTATGAACCATGACAGCTTTCCATTGAACTGGCAGTTGAAACCTCCTCTATTAGACTAAGAACTCCCTGAGAGCAAGGATTGGAACTCTAGCACTCAGCTAATTTAGTGCTTAATAAGTGCTTTGCATACTTGCACTCATTCATTGAATCATAAAATATGGGAATGGAAAGGGCCTCAGTGATCATTTTATTCAATTTCTGAATTTTACAGATGGGGAAATTCAGACTGAAAGAGGTTAGGTCCTTTCAAAAAGATCATACAGATGAGTCAGGATAAGACTTAGTTCTTCTGACACCTAAGGCAGTGTTTTTTCCACTACATCAGTGAGCAATAAATTAAAATGCTCTGAGTTTGAATCTCTACATTTGTAAATGGGAATAACAGACTCTGGACAAAAATATTCTCATTTACCTGGCATTCTTAGGAGTGCAAAGGCAACATAACTAAGTTTTAAAAATAAATAAGACAACCTCTCAGGGCACCTTTTTAAAAAGACTTCAATCATCTGAGATAGAAACTTGTCAAATGCAGGTTAACATACTCACTTGCCTACTTGGAAAGAAAAAAAAACTAAAATTAATCCTCTTTTCTTAATGATTTACCATCATCACAACCTTCCACTACTATCCTAGGCATTAACACAGTAACTCGGCTTCCTAAATTGCTATTAGGCATCATTTCTGTGATCAGTCTGCTTGCTTCTAATTTGTTTTTAATCTGCTGAAATCTGAGAGTCAGAAAATCAAAGTAGTATTTTTATTTAATTCAAAGTGCAACTCTGCTGTGGAGGCTGGAGAAGACAGGAAAATAGCTGAGCACCTGAGCTTTGGGATCCTCATTTCACCCACCTCTCAGATGATGCTAAATGATGAACTATTTTTAATAGCTCATAGACCCAAATGCCTCCATATCTGAAATATTTGCATTTGCAGAGGTTAAAATGGTAATTATTACATAAATAAGAGTGAAACAGGAACAATAAAATAACTTAACAAAAATACAACACATAAGTACTTTTGAAAAAAAAAGTATGACTGCATACTATTCAGAACTTCTTATTTCCCACAAAAATTAATAAATTAGCAGAATTTACCAAATAAACCTTATTATCTTTCATTCTGTCTGTGGGTGGGTGCTCTCTTTGTTTCTTGCCTGGTGCTTATATCCTAGTTGGGCATATGACCTCATCCCTTCTAATACCTTTACACGCGAATGCAAATTAAGAAAAAAAATTGCCAAAGTTTACTCTTACCTGACATAATAATCATTTCTGATGAGCAAGAAATGTTGTAGAATGGAGAGCAAGTAATTTTCAGAAGAAGTGTCCTTTAGCATGTTATACAGAAGATGATAAACTTCATTCATATCAGTAAAAGGTCAGTTAAGAAAAAAAAATCAGTTTCGTTTGTCATACAGCAAGATGTTTTTTTACCCCACCACCTCCAAAAAACAATAAAACCAGCTTTACCATTTTACTTTGGTATATGTTTCTCTTCAACTTAAATTCAACGAACGAGTTTTGTAACATTTCCATAAGTAGATTATGTTTTCTGAACTGACAAGATCAAAAACACAAGAGAAAAGACTTAAGGAAGTGATCTTTTTACAGTAGTTCTTAAAATGAATATGTGTTGGCTCATCATTATTTTTATAAACGTAAAGGTGGCCGTTGCTACACCATCATTAGCAGTATGCATCCAAATGATTTACTCTGAGAATATGCAGGACATTCATGTTTATTGGTTCTACCCTCGTAAGTCTGAGAGTTGCCAGAATTGTATTTATATGAAGCCTCAATTTCCATTGCCATATTTCATGCTAGAGATAGTCAACATAAAATAACAGAAGTAACCTTATTTTATCTAATGACATAATAGGTCAATGTAAAATTAGTAATTTTTTTTATTATTTCAATACTTTTAGATGTAAAAAAGACAACTGAAGACTGAAACATATTTAATCAGTGATACAGAGACACTGTTAGCAGTCACAATACTTTCATCTACCTATATAACATAGCTAACAGAATTATTTAAATTTACATTTATAGTAAGGAGCATGAAAGATGAAAACATCTTCAACAAGTTTTCTATAGTATTATTTGAGTGAGAGTAGCATTAAGTATAAGTTTGCTCTTTCGGGGGCTTCACCTAAGGGTGACTAGTGACAAAAGTATTAAAATGCACTAATTTATAGGTGGTATCTCCTACTAGGCCAAAGAAAATTATTTACATAATTTAGAGTCTTTTTTTGCCTCACTTGAAAAAAGGAATATTAGTACCAGAAACATCATTTCAACCAGGGGGTCAATGTAATTACAACCTAAAAAAGGTTAATAAGGAAATGTTACAACTTCCCCACTTAATTTGCTCATCATGATTCCTTGTGTATCATATATTAAAGGGTAGGGGAAGGCATTGCTTCTTAAGTAAATCCCATAATCTCATCACCGTATAAGACTAACACCTAGTGGATATCATATTACCCCTTATGCCTTCAGTAATTTCAAAAGAAATTATCAGTGAATGACAATTACATTTGCTAGCTATACTGAACTCAAGCTAAACTAAATCACTAGCATTTATAATAACTATATAGTAGTTATCCATTTTTTTCAAGTGTATCTTATCTTCAAATAGCAAGTAAGTCATTTGTGTATTAGAAGTAAGTTACATTTTGGGGGTCAACGGAGTAGAATGTAGTCAAATAGAATAGTACCTTACCTAAAGAAATATAGCCAATAAATTTTCCCCCTAGAAGTTCCAATTCATTTCATTAAACACACCTTGTACTACATACCTGAAAAAGAATACAAACAGGAACCTTGCTATAACATGGCCCATAATGATGCAGATTTCAGTAGAGTCTGGGTTCCTCTGTGAGGTTGACTTATCAGTAGTACCAGAAGAAGCTCATTAAAAGCAGTCTGACACTCCCACAGCAGGAAACCCAGAAAAAAGATTCCAGTGAAACTCCACTATACTTAAGTGGATGCAAATTGGGTTGGCAGACAAAAACATCATGTAATGAACTACAAAATCCAAACCTCCTTCAGAAATATATCAACAACAATTTCTGTGGTTTATCAGAAGGATATTCCATTTCCGCTCGAATGTCATTGAGACGATGTGATAATTCATTTAGGTCATCATCTTTGTTCTCATCAAATACTCTCAACTGGATATCAAGTTCATCATTGTCTTTTTCTTTCAGACCCTAATATAAAAAAATAAAACTTCAAAGGTAAATATGCTTCCAGATAACATTATGGATTTTACCTATCAAAAGACTATGTACAGAACAACCTCATTTCCTCTACCTACACATGGCAATATTATCAAACCTTGATACAGACACATCATTTCCTAAGAAAAAGCCATTGTAGCTAATTTCTAGGTATCAAAATAAAAGGACATTTTTTTACATGTCCCCAAGTTTTCCATATTCAGGTTCAAATATATATACCTATCAGATTTACAACTGAAAGCCCTGTTCCAGTAAACTACTTCCTACAAACTCATATTTAATGGAATCCTTTTGTCTGGGTACACTAATAAAAGATGGTTCAAAAAAAAAAAAACTCATGCAGTTGGAACAATCACATATGCAAATGTAGAGCAACTGTATTAAGGACAAACAGAAGGATAAATACATATATATGTATATATATTATATATCTAAGCACAACAGTTCCAAGTATGGCATGGAAAGTTGTACAAAGGTGTTTTTCCTCCCTTTAAAATCACCTTTTGTGATTAAAAAGCAATAAAATAAGATTTTTTTTTCTTAAAAGGACCTAAAAACATATTCTCCTTTATTCCCATTTCATATTTCTTTCGAATAATCACAAAATAGTAATTTGGGCATTAATGTTATTTTTTTGTAATATATTATGTACACATACATTATAATATTTTAATGCTAATCAAAATAATCATAAAACTTTTGAGCGTGCCACACTAGAGACTGTTGGGCTCAATATATATCACCTACAATGTCTTTAAATATGTCTTTCCCTTAAGCTGCAGTTTTCAAAACTCAAATCGATTTATCACAACTGAGGATGATCAAAGGTGGTAGAGCCTGTGACACTAGCGTGTTTCGGTTTAAGCTTGAACTCTAAAAGTAAGATGCAAGGATTCTGCACTTTAAATTAGAGAGAAAAAATGAGTGGAATACATTTTGGGGAAAAAAAACTGTGTGATGATTCAATGGAATAAATATAAATAGAGTTAATGGCCACTTTTATCACTAAAATTGAACACAAAGGTAAAATTTTTCAAGATATTTAACAATTTTCATAAAAATGCAACTAAACTATGCTAATTTGTTTCATAGCATTCAATAAATATTTAGCACTGCCTCTATACATATTCCATATAAAAGAGACTAAACTAAGTTTTATTTTTAAGTTGTAATTAACTGAGAACTAATTATCCACCCTGATTTTAACAGAATTTACATTGTGATAACAGTGATAATTTGCAAAGCAAAACAACCTAAATTTGTTGGGTCAGTAATACGTGGTAACGTTTTCTATTTTTGAAAATAATCTACTTAGGTTTTTCTAATCTGTGGGATGTTTCATATTGTTATCTTACCATGTCAAACAATATGCCACCAAAAGTCAATGTTACGTAGGGCATGGACTTTTTTCAAAAAATTTAAAAGTTACAATCAACATGGAGTTATTAAGTTGGAATTAGATTTCCTCCACAAAGAAACAAAGCTTAGGATTAAAACACACTCCATGAAAACGTTAGCAAAAATGCTAAATTTAATATTAAATTGAAACATTAATTAATTGAAACATTACTTGAATATTGAATTAAAATTAAATAGGGTCAAGGCATTAGTGACATAGCAACTGTACTTTATTTAAATAAATTATATGATAAATCTTATAAGATATGGTACTAAGTTATTGAGATAATCAAGAATACAAAAATTTGGACTTAATGACAGGGATATCTTCTATGACATACTAAAACCTTTTGGCAAAAAATATAGATTGCGTTATCCAAACTATTTTTAAATACTTTTCAAAAATATTAATCTTTTGACAATTTTTAACTTTGCAAGCACTGTGCACATACTCTGGCTCCATTAGCTCAGTCTTAATCAAGCACCTTCTATAGATACATTATGTGGATAACTCTTTACGATCCTACTAAACATTCAGTTCGTTTAAAAAAAATCTTTCTTCCCCTTTCCTCCACTGTCTGCTTCCCTGACACAACTATGAAAACCAAGAACCTTCTGGTAAATATGCATTGACCTCCAGTGCAGTGCTTCAGCTTGACACTTCTATTTGATACTAATTAAAAATTCTCTTCCAACTTTTGTTGTTCACTTGTTTCAGTCATGTCCAACTCTTTATGACCCCATTTGGGGTTTTCTTGGCAAAGATAATGAAATGGTTTACAGTTTCCTTCTCCAGCTCATTTTACAGATGAGAAAACTGAGGCAGTGTTAAATAAATTGCCCAGGGTCACACAACTAGTAAGCATCTGAGGCCGCATTTGACTTCACTAAGATGAGTCTTCCTGACTCCAGGTCCAGCACTCTATCCAATGTGCCACGTAGCTTCCCTCTCTTTCAACTACGGTTAAATTAATTTTAATTCATCTCTCAACCACTAAGTTACTGAAGGAAAAAAAAAATATGAAGAGTACAAAACAACAGTCACGTCGGCCTGTTTTTCCACCATGGCAGAAATTAACTCAAGATATTATCGACAGGAAATGGGGAAGGATTTTATTAAGAAAAAAAAATTCTAGAGCCCAATTTCTCTTGAATATTTCAATGACACTAATAAGAAAAAAAAAAGGACAAAGGTGCTAGAATGATGGCTGAGAGATTCTTCTTGATCGTCAATCATACTAGTGAAAGGTTCTATGGTCAAAATGTCTTTAAAAACACTCCCATTGAGGAGGGGGGGAAACCAATGCACAAATATACTTTAATAATTCCATTTTAAAAGTGTCTCTCAAAATCATTGTGACTTTCAAGAAGCCCCAAGTATCAACTATCTCTCAAAGAAGCAAAAATTTTATAATGACAAGCTTGAAAAAGTTTCAGCTAGTCTTAAGAGCCAAGAAAACATAACCCTCCCTTGCCCCCAACATACCCTCCTCACCATTCCCTATACATCATACCATCCATGGCAAAACTGCCAAAGGAGATGAGTGAATTTTTTCTAAGGCTGAGACACCAAAATGTACAGGGAAGTAATTGAAGTCACTTGCTCCCATTCAAACGTATCCTATCATGGTACTATGTGCCATACCTCATTATCCAGTAGGAACAAGAATAAGGTACACTATAGAAATGAATTTTCTAGACAAAAGAAAACTATCAACCCTGTCAAACATCAAAAGAATTTTTTCTTTTAGCCATTCTGGATGTAAAAATATGCTTCTCATGTATTAAACATTTTCCTGCCACCCTCAATGGCATACAGTGACCATGTTTGAACCTTGTCTAAATGACTTAAGGTCATTATTGTGAACATATTTAGTTGTCCTATGAAATGATGCCCGCAGGAGTTCTACAAGTAGAACTGACTGGTTCCTGAATTAAATGGCCCACAACTGTTAGAATTTTGGGTTTCTATGTCAGTTATTCATCATTTTCCTGTCTCTTCCTTTGCTGGTAGCTGTCAGTTGTCCCTTCACTGCTAGAAGTCCTGTGGCACCATCACCCCAAATACCATCATCATGCCTAACACACTCACGCACACACCCTACCACCTCAAACTTAAAACTGCTTCTAGAATTCTATTTACAATATGAGTTCAAAGACTAAAAATGGATTACAAGGATTTTTATGAATATATAACACAAGCTTTATTACGTGGACTTTACAAAGAATCACATGGCTTTTTCCCTTACTTCCTAATTTCACCTTAGTTCTAGACAACTGAGGCTGCTGGTTTAGTACCCTCTGGGTAACCAACATTCCTAGAGGCCTCTAACAAGGCCAAGGCCAAGGTCCACTCAGGGTCTCACATCACAGACTTAAGGAGGAGAGCCCACAGGCACTCCAGAAGGACCTAAGGAATAAACGTGCTCATTTATTCAGTGCAATCCTATAAAAGAATTTCAAATGATAAAAAAAAACCCATTTGGAAATGCTAAGGTTTTCATTTGAGACAAACTGTCTGTATCAATTAAAAGCCAGAATGTAGTTTTCCAGCAACTTGACTAGATGGATTACCCATATACTTCTGTTCATCTTTAGAATGAAACTAAATATAACCTACATAAGAGAATTAAAGCTGAAACAAAGTAAAGGTCTTTTATTTCCTCAGTAGTCAATTCCCAACAAATAAATAGCATTCCAATCCCAGGAATGGAAAAAGGAGTTCATTGCTGTACCCATTATTAACAGGTTTGAATTATCTGATATGTATAGTAGCTATTACAGTAATATTTAGAGGTTTAGCGGCCAAGGCTAAATTATATAATGTCTTGGATCAGAACAAATTGAAGAAGTTATAGTTGATAAGTTAGATTTACCTAGATTTGTTTTTTGCCATGTTTATTACCATGGAAAGATACCAAACTTCATCTGGAAAATAAAACCAAATACATCACTTACTGGTAACAGTTTCTTAAGTCCAGAACGGAGAAACTCATTTCTTAAATGTATCCGAAAATCAAGTTCATAAGGAGAGGTAACAAGGGCATTTATAAATTGCATGCAGGCAACCTACAATGAGAAATCAAATTTAATTAAAGAGCAAAACTAAAAATTAAGAAACTATACACTTAATGCACAAGAAAATTCATCTCTACTTCTACTAAATGTTTGTACAACTTAAAATGCCATAAGAAATGCACAATGAAATTGAAAATATCTATCGCTGCAAAGCTTTGGAAATCTGGAGTATGTTAAAACGGTATCAATTGTTGTAAACTCTAATAGCCAGAATAATTCTGATTTCATTATCCGATATGTACTGTTGGATAATTTCACATGTAACGAATGGTCAACTACAGTCATATGTTTATGCTGGGGACTACAATTCAATCTTAGAGATAATTAAACTCCCTTTGGGAAGCGCACACAAACAAAATACTTATGCTTCTCCACTACAGCATGTTAAAAAAAGAGCAAGAGTTCTTCCTTCCATTTTCAGTTCTTTTCTCCTAGCCTACTTAATAACAAGGCTTCAATTCCATATTGTGAAAAATAATTTTCTTAGATTTATCAAATAAGGTTATGAAAAATTTTCTGAGAAGTACAGAACAATGACAGCATGGCATAACCGAATTGCATTACATTCTTTCTAATTTTTGATTATGACATATTTGGCCAAAGTATATACAGCATATTAGATATGTAAGATGAATTGATTTATTATGGCTGAATAAATGCATGCAAGTGAAATAAAATCATTTAATATGCATTGTGACACCAATATTAATGTTTCTTACAAACTAGAGCAAATAGGACTATTTTCAAGTAAAGATTTCTCGTTAACTACACCAGTTAGAAAATGAGTTTGGCTCACCCACTACCCACACCTAATCCTTCTCTCCTTAAAGTTACCTATTCTAAACAGATTCATCCCCTCTCTTCCCCTATACCACCACCTCAAGCCCCAGGAAATTGCAGGACAGGATGGAAGCAACAAAATGCTAATTGCCAGGTGTTCCATATATTATTCCCAAATAGCATTTTTGGAAAATGCCTACTGAAGTCTCAGGCTACTGGCTAATAGTTTAACTGAACAGCTGCACATTTTAATTGATTTATTTTAAAAACAGGCTACCAGTAATATAATGCTAAAAGGGCTAATACTCAAAATTTGCAAGGAGACTCCTGGGAAAAGTAGGTTTGATAGATGTTAAATTCAAGTAGCAAAGGAAACAAACAAATCAATAATTTCTACAGAAAAAAAATTTCAGTACCAAATGAAAACTTCCCCCTACAACTTGAATTCCATTCCCCATCACTGTCTAACCAAACGGCTAAAGGAAACATAAGGAGACCAGATTTTGGCTGAAGGTGCACTTATCGGAGATGCAGCCTATTAGGTTAGAGGGCCAGGAAGACCTGGATTCAAATCCTGCTGCCGACACAGATAATAATGGTATAGTTCTGGACAAGTACTGTAACCTCTCACCTCCCTTTGCAACTCTTTAAAACTCTAAGTTCTGGAGTAAGGTGCCGTTGTCTACATGGCAGGAGTTTCCACAGCAGAAGCTCGCCATTTGGACCAAATCACCAGGCCAGGCCAGACTGAACACAAAGCACATAAAGCAATTCCTAGGCTTCAGTGTGGCCACTCTTACCACCCACACTTCACCAAATTCATGTGCTTTTCTGTGCAACTCTTCATAGAATAACGATAAACTGAAAAATCAACTAAGATAACACAGATCTCTAAAAACCACATGACGGCAATCATATCATAGAAATGCAAGCGGCAATTATTTCCCAGATTTCGCCAATATAGCTGACATAACAAGTTCAACAAAGGAATCCCAGAAAAGAAATGTGGAGGTAAAAAATGAAAAATTTAGTCAAGCCATCAGATGCGTCAAAATACTAAGACAAATAGCATCGTGCAAAATACCCTGACCTTGGATCAAAATGGATAGTGAAGGCAGAGCTTTTCATTTTATGTCTAGATTGATTCGGCATGTACCTTATCATACCATGCCTGTGACCCTGAGTTTTCAAAGCCCATTCTTGGTGGGAACATACCCTCTGGCAGACCCTACCACGGGGAATTCCTTTTAAATACAAAATGTGCACACACCCGTCAAAAGTGTTGAGGTCAAAAAGGCTTGTCACCAGGAGCGAGCCATTTTTGGCAGTCAAAACTATGACTTATGAAAATACCTACAAAAGTTGTAATCGGGGTCGGTGGAGGAAGCATCCACACCAAGGAGAGCAGATCCTTGAGTTACTGAAGCAAGGATACACTATCTGACACAACAGGAACTTGGTAACTTGAGGACGGCCCAACAGAGTCTCCTACTACACATAGTGCACCTATTAGTGACTGCCTTAATTAAGGGGAAAGTTAACCTTGATATTTATGATAGAAAACCCCAGCTATTCACACGGTTGAAATCAGCTGGGAAGTAGCTTTGGATATTGCACATATCCATAACTATATTATCATCATATCTGCCTGAATGAGCCTTATTATGTTATAACTGTGACATGACCGAACAAGCCAAAGTACATGTCCAATCCAAAATTAATAGAGAGAAAAGTTGCCATCTGCTGGGATTGTTTTTGCCAGAAGAAATTCTAGCTTAATGGCTTGTATTAATACATTACAAGTAGAGAGAGCATTTGCACCAGAAACAAGTTAATGAGTCCTGCAGCTCTCCACAAATGGAGGTCTGTGGATCAAAGAAAAACTTTCTTTAAAACAAACTTATTCTGTATTGATAGCACGATATAGAGTCATGTTGTTATTCATTTTCAATAGATGGATAGAATATTACACCAACACAGTAAAAGGACTTTAGTTCATTCACAGAACCTAACACAAGGCTTAGAACACAGCAGGGGCTTCATAAATGCTACCTCGTTAAGAAACTCGGGAGGTTTTTGTGTTTTTAAGACAACTATGAAAAAGGAAGAAGACAGTGAGATATCAATTCATTACCTAGGAGAAGTTTAAATACAAATGAATGTGACAGCCTGATTCTGCAATAGCAGCACCTACATGATGTCTCAATATAATTTTTATAAACGTTGGGGAGAGGAAGCTGAAAGGCCATTTTGCTCCTGTCATCCACCTACACCAATATTCTAGAACTTTCCAGAGTAAAAAGAATAGTGATAAAAGTCAGCAGAACAATGTTCATACAAAGCTAGCCTATGTAAAAGGAAAAATGTGTGTTAGTCTGAAAGGAACTCTCAGAAATGAGCCCAGGCTCCACTCATCCAAAGTTTCTAGTTGAAATTCAACACGAATGTATGCATTTGACATTTTGCATTTTCTCCGAACAGTTAAACACAATCTTCTTGTAAAATGTCACAGGAATTGACTGACCATCACGCCACGTGTCGCCACAAAACAGTCCAGTAGAAGGCCTCAGCTGTGCAGGAGACAGCCAGCAGTCGGCCAGCACAACCCTCTCATCGGTGGGGGGAGAGGTGGGCAGCTGAGAAGGAGTTAAGGCACTCACTTGCCCAGAAGATTTCAGAGTGAATGAAAAGCAAAGTCAAGTCTCCAATTGCATACCTCCTGACGGCTAGTACAGTGTTCTTTCGATAACACACAAAAGTGGCATCGTTTTAATAACATCCCCCTTTCGAAGGAGAAAAAGAAATGCTCTTGAAGTATAATTATGACCATTAAAACACCTGCTTTCAGACATAAAAGTGCCTTTATACTGGTTTTTTTTTTAAATTACCAAAATATTCTCTCTCAAATCTCTTTAGCTTTTCAAGGGAAAAAATGACTCAAAAGATATAATTGAACATTTTATGGTAGAAGCAATATCTTCCTAGGGCCCTGCCATAGAGGTTGGGCAAGCCTTTCCCAAGGCCCTACTCCCAGAAGACAAGATAAGTTTTTCCTCCAAAGGCATGGAAATGCTCCTTGGAACTGAACTGCCCAGAGGACTAAGGCTCAATCTACTCTGCTAAGTAGAAGACATCAAAGCAACTCCTCTCTCAGGCTTCTGAGCTAGGCACCAGCACGGCCATGAGAGAGTCAGAGCAACTCAATGGATGCTATGCTTTCGCCTCACTTAGTGTCCTTTCTGGGCTCTGGCTAAATCAATGTCCTTCTCTTAACTGTAAGATAGTCCAGTTCTGAATGTGAAGCTCCAGGGTCCAGCCTACAATCCATTTGGAATGATCTTTCATCAGGATTCACATCCAAAGTACAAGTAAATTTGTAGCATCATGAATAAATGCATTGAGGCATAGCTATGAATCTTTTTCCAAACTATTTACTGCTAAAACTAAATGACTTTCTCAATTTTTATATTTAATCAATGACTTCCTTACCTCATGCTTAAATTTCTATATGAATCTGCTGTCATACTACATAATCAATACATACATGTACAATGTAATTTTGTTCACATATAATTACAAACTAATGGCTACCAGTGTTTTCTCCTCCACTAACCACTTACCCCAAGGTCCCTCATTCTTTCTACATCAATTCTTCTCACTTTTGTATTTGGCCTGGAGGAATGGAGGTGGAGATAAGGACCCCCTGGCTCATTTATAAATTAACTGAAATGAAATAAAAGCAAGAATAATAACTATGTTTTAAACTTATTCAATGGATCCAAGAGTCAGTGATGAGCAAGGCATGGTCTTCCACTCTGAGGAGACAAAAAGAGCTACAATGTGGATCTAGTTTTCAAGGAAATAACTTCATGCTCTATTCAATACAACAAACACTTGAGAACCTATTATATGCTTGAGGCACACTTCTCAGAAATTGGGATTCAAAGACAAACATTAAACAGAACCTACATTCCAAGGAGTTTACATTTAACTGTGCATGGGCGGTGGGGAGGACAGAAAATGTTGATACGTAAAAATATTAGAAAAAGGGAGGTAGGAGAAAATGCTAAAAAATTAGGAAACCAACAGATGAGCTTTGGAAAGGACAGGACCTGAGCTGAAATTGAAGGAGATATAGAGAAAGCGAAGGTACATTCCACTCATGGCTTTGTCTGTGGCAATAGAGAAAGGAAGCAGAATATGGAGATCAG